TAAAATTAAACCCTGGACTTGCAACGGTTAGAGGAAAAACCAAAAATCCTAATGAGCCCCCAGCTGATTAAGGAAATACATACTCCAAGGAACAGAAAATGCCCTAAAGCAACGTTTCTCAACCTCGGCAATTTTACCTGGCTGGGGAATTCTGGGAGTTGGAGTCCATCCATCTTAAAATTGCCAAGGTTGAAAACCACTGCCCTGCCCTTTGTGGGTAAGTTGGCTCAAACACTCACAAACATCCATCGCCCTTTTCTCCTTGGTTTTTAATTGTAAATTTGTGATTATGTGAAGTTCTACTTCCATATTTCTGGTTACACTGTTTATTGGGGTGCATTCCCCGAAACTTGCCTGCTGATGTACAGGATCTCTCAGCGGAAACTGCCGCTGGGAGTCCTGTTCCTGCCCCTTCAAAACAGGGGCCCTGAAGTTTTGGGAGCCCCACCGGGGCACCTCAGATATGAGCCACGGAGAAGAGAGAGGTGCAAAGTCTCTCCTTGGCTAAAGGAGAGTTTGGCTCTTGCAACGTGGGATGGACGCATCCTCCTTTTGGGAGAACTAGGCTTCTTCAAGTTCTACCAGCACCCCGTCACAGTCTTTGGGGTGCAGGAAAACCACCGGCTTTCCGTGAGCACCGATTTGGGGTTTGTCACTCAGAACGCGGATCTTTTTCCTCTTCAGCTCTTCGATGGCGTTGGAAATATTGTCCACCTGGCAAAACAAAAGAGGTATCAGTTTTCGAAGAGTTACTTGTGAGAAATAAAGGTGTGCCTTCTTAAAACAAGAAGAGAAAACCTCCGGGGCCCCAGATGTTCCTCAAATACACCACTCAACGTACGTTGGAACCAAACCCAGAAAATACCTCCAGGCAGATGTGATGCATTCCCCCGGCCTTATTTTTCTGCAGGAAACCCGTGATGGGGCTCTTTTCTCCCAGGGGGTGCAGAAGTTCCAGTTTCGTGTTCCCCAGCTCCACGAAGACCGTGTAGACCCCGTGGTCGGGGAGGGGAAGGACCTCACTCACTCGGGCTTGTAGCACATCCCTGTACAGAGCGGTGGCTTTTTCCAGGTCAGGCACAGCGATGGCCACGTGGTTGAGCTGACCCAACTTCCACAAAGATTGGGGAATCGCCTGGTCTGAGAACCATCTGACTATTGGAGATCTCCAGTGGAGGCGCGCGAAAAGCCCTGGGACAAGAAGAAAAACCATGTTTCCAGATGTGCAGGGTAACAGTTGGAAAGCCTGGGTGCTCCGACTCTTCACCTCTGCGGGGTCCCAGGTGAAGCCCTGCAGGAGTGAAGGACGGTAAGACGACGAAGGAAGAACAATCGTCTTCAGATAACCAACATCCCAGATCTGGATGAGGACCCTGTGAGATCATCGTATTTTCCTGATATGTTCTGCCATCTTTGTTCTTTCTCCTGCTCTGAAAATTAGGGCGGTTACAGTTAGATTGCACTCTAGAATATTGTTTCGCAACTTTTGCAACGTTAAGAGGCTGGCTGGGGAATTCTGGGAGTTGAAGTCCATCCCTCTTAACATTGTCAAGGTTGAAAAAAAACTATTTAGTTGCTGGGTTGAAATGTCAGCTCTGAAGACATTTAGACCTTACAAATATAGACCCTGTCAATATATTTTTTTTCAGGGCAGCTCCAATGCATGGTCTTTGTCAGCAAACTGATTGTTTTTACCCTCCAGGAAAAAGTGCTGAGGTTCTATTTTGCCCTTTCAAGTCTTGCTTTTCCATTTCATCGGGGCAGAAAATCCACGTGGGGTTTCCTTAATAGATCTGTCTCTACAAAAGTTTCCTTTTCCCCTCCTGCTAACATCTTGAAAAGCATTATTCATATATTATTAACTAACCTTCTGGAGCCCACGTTGCAATCCTTATTATGCCCGTGTTTATTATTTAAAATATTTTCGCAACACTTTTTTATTATTATTTTCAAAACCCCAGAGTGCTGTACAAGTGCAAATAATTTCTCCTGGGGTGGTTTTTTCCTCCCCCTTTCTTTTAGGAACGACATGAGGGTGTTTGATGGAGAAAAGTCCGTTAAACCAGTGTTTCTCAACCTTGGAAGCTTGAAGATGGATGGACTTCAACTCCCAGAATCCCCCAGCCAACAGTGCCATCCTACTCAGAAAGAGATTCAATGGGACTTACTCCCAAGGGAAAAAAAAATAGTGTGTGTTTGTTTGTGTAGAGAAATGGAGCTAAGAATCAGCTGGTCCCTGGTTCGAATTTATCCTTCCTCAATATCCATTCATGCTTTTCCTTTCCTCAATTCTGGAAAACGGACCAGGACTATGTTGGTCTAACAACTGAAAAGGCTAAATTAAGAGGAGAGAAGTGTTTGAAAGTATAGGTACTCCTCGATTTACGACCACAATGGAGACCAACATTTCTGTTGTTAAGTGAGACAGTTCCATTTTATGACCACTCTCACTACAGTTGCTAAGTGGATCATTGCAGTTAAATTAGTCACGCTGTTGTGACGTGAATCTGGCTGCCCTGTTGATCCTCGGGACACTGGAACCGTCATAAATGTGAGTCAGTTGCCAAAATCTGAATTTTGATCATGTGACCACAGCAGTGCTGTAACAGTCATAAGTGTGAAAACGGTCATAAATCACTTTTTTCAGTGCCACTGTAACGTCAATCAGTCACTAAATGTGCTGTAAATCAGGGACTAACTGTATTGTTGAAAATGCTACCTCATTCTCAAGAATTTACAGACACACAAAAGTTACACTCTCAACAGCCAAATATCAAACTTTTCCAGACTGACAAAAGAGCCTGGTTTCCTTCTGCAGAAAGTGTGGATTGTGTACCCATGCCTGATATCCCCAAATGTCCTATATACAATGTTTATTGTTTCACAGGAGAAATCTTTTAGCATTTCTCTCCCCAGCTGTTAAGCACGCTGCAAAATGCCTGATGTTTCACATTCACAAATGTGTTAAACTGCAAATATGAATAAGCTAATCCATTTTTCCTCCCCACATTAAGGCTGAGGGTAGGTACCACATTCTTGGCAGAGACAGCTGGCAGAGACAGCTTCAGACGGACATGAAAGAAATTGGCGCTTCCGTTGTTCAAATTTTGAACTTGTTGCCAACTTAGCTGCAGGCAGGACTGAGCGGCGAGTGACTTTGCCCTGCAGGGACTTGGGGGGAAACTACAAATGTGCCTCTTGGAGCTGCCACAACTTGTAGACAAATGTGACAAGCAGTTTACTGTCTGCTGGATTATTGGAAAGAGTGCTGCAACAAAATAATGACGTGATGCAAGAAAAAATCAGTCTTGGAAGTTTCCCACCATCCTAAATGTTAGATATTATTATTATTATGGTTGGTTGCACAGCCAGCCAGATGTTTAGACTGGATTTGGCATTTTACCCACCTATTGAGTCTTTCCCAAGGACTTGGGAGAGGCAGATCTTCTTATCTGATGATGTTAAAGGTACCATCATAGCTGTTTTGCCTTTTGCAATTATTATTATTGTTGGTCGCACAGCCAGCCAGATGTTTAGGCTGCCTTTGGCATTTTTGTCCCTATATCAAGTTCAAGAATTTGAGGCAGTGTTTGTCAAACTTGGGAACTTTAAAATGTGCAGATTTCAACTCCCAGAATTCCCCAGCCACCATGCTGAGTGGGGAATCCTGGGAGTTGAAGTCTACCCATTTTAAAGGACTATAAACTTAGGCTTAGAGAATTCTAGGAGTTGAAGTCCATTGAGAAACAGCGCTCTATCGACTCCAGTTCAGGTGATTCAGGAATACTGTACAAAATGAAGCTCTCTTTGAAAAGCTACTATAGGACTGCCTACCCTACAAACAGGGATGTTGGGCTGTCTTCTCCCCACGTGCAGCACAGACCCACAACCTGCGATTTCCGCAAAGCAGCCAGGTAGGTAAAAGAGGCAGGAGCTGCCCTGAGGTGGCAATGGAGCCTCCATGTACAGGAGCAGCCTACCCCTAGAATGCATTCCAGACAAGGGAAGGAATTGCGTCCCGCCTTGCGCGCTTCCAAGCAGGGTCCCAGAGGGGAAAAAGCATTGCACCCAGCTTGATTCCAGCTGTTGCAACCCCTAATCTCGCCAAGCGGCAGAATGGAGGATGGTTGCAGGCATTCATGCGCGCCTGCACCAATGCAAGCATGCAAAATGTGCAAAAAGCCCCACCCAGCAAGGTTGCAAAGGGGTCTCGTGCGGAAAGCGCCTCCCTCCCGTCCCAGCCCCGTTTCTTCCCCCAACTCCCCAGCACGTACCTGCCACCAGTTTAGCCTTGAGGGCGGCCATCTTTATACCTGGCACGGCCAGGCTCGGCTCCTCCGCCTTTTCCGCGAGGTGAAGCCAAAAGAGAACTGGCAACGGCGTCGCCGCGGGGCCAAAAGGAGGCGGCGGAGGAACAGCAGCCGCTCGCAAAGCACCGCCGCTGGGTCCTAGCGCCAACCTCTTTAAAGGGTTCCCGCCCTAAATAGCTACCTTTTCATGTACATATTTAACAACCACCACAACAACAAAAAGAGAGGTGACAATGCAAGGCACTTAGGGGCGGCGAGGCTCTTTCCGATCAGCGGGAGGTTGGAGAGCAATTCAAAGGATGCGTGGGGGTTGTGTGTCTGTTGCAAAGCAGGGTTTTCTTTTTCCAAAGGTTGAATGCGCTCCGACGATGCCACCTGCCCCAAAGGTCCCGCCTTTGTCTGTGCATGCCCACCCCGTGCAAACTCTCGCTCAGCCTTTCCATAGGATGGCCGCCCCACCATGCAGGGCTGTTGGGAAGATATAGGGGACAGAAAGCAGCAAAGAGAGATGCGGAGGGAGAGGAGGGAGAGCAGTGCAGTCAAAGCCTTCTCCCCATTGCAAAGGGCTCGGGAGCTACGCTTGTTTGCCCGGGCAGGCAACCAGCCGTCAATATAGAGCAAAACCACCCGGACCTTTTTTTCCCCGGCGGAACCTTCCTCTGCGGAGCGCGCGTTGCCGGGCGGACGCGTTTGGGGGACGGACGCGCCGAAGAGGCGCCTTAGAAGCATGGCGGAGCTCGCTGCGGCGCCGTCTCCACGGCAGCGGCTGGACACGTGTTTGGAGCTTCTGGGAGCCGCCGCGGGTCGCCCCGAGCAGTTCCTCAGGTAGAGGCGGGCTAAGAGGCGGGTTCGGGCGGGGATCGGTCTCCCCCGAAGGGTTGCACTACAACGCCCATCGCTCCCAGCCTGCGGGGCAGGCAGAGGGACCCTCTTGGAGGGCGGCGGCGGCGGTGGCTTGGGTCCGTCAGGTGCAGCCCAGAGGGCGCCCGGTTGGGGAAGGAGGGGGATTCCAGGGAGGGTCCCAGAGAAGAATCGCCCCTCTCCCTCCCTTCCTTCCTTGGGCTGTTTGTCTCATCCCCGCGCCTGCTGGCTCTGTGTCCTGGGAACCTCCTTTGCAATGAAATAATAAGTCATGTCATGATTGATTAAGCTAGTTTGCAGCCCAACTCTCCATGACTGAAGGGCTCACGACAAATAAATTACAGAGCAATCAATGAAACATGAAAGAATAGAAATGGCTGATGCTGCCCCAATCTCAATGGCTCTGTCTGAGCAGCTTACAACAATCAAATTAACAATAAAGCCGATAAAACTTCATCATAATATGATTCTTGATGAAGATATCTTTTCTTTTATGTACACTGAGAGCCTATGCACCAAAGACAAATTCCTTGTGTGTCCAATCACACTCGGCCAATAAAGAATTCTATTCTGTTTTGTTCTGTTCTGTTCTGTTCTGTTCTATTATTCTATTCTTCATTTCCACTATTCTATTCTATCCTATTCCTATTCCATTCTGATAATGGTGACTTATTAAGCTTGTATGTTACCTGACTCTCAACTACTTTGGGTGGCTTGCAACAAATTACAATAAAACCAGTAAAAACAAAATAATATTAATGGTTTATTAAACTTGTTTGCTGTCCAATTTTCAATGAGTCTGTGACTCACAGCTATCAAATGAAATTTCAATAAAATTGATAAATCCTAATGATTAAGCTTGTATGCCACCTGATTCTCAATGACTTTGGGTGATTCACAAAAACAAAAACAAAACCCTACCATGGCACCAATAAAATATCTAAAAAGTAAAGATAAAAGTTGGTGTGGGCCACGAAATGAGGACCTGGAGGGTCAGCCAGGCTTAAAGAAGGGGCAAATCTCATTTGGCGAGGGGCCTGTAACCTCTTTGCTTTCCAGTGTCCAGGATGGCCTTGCCGCTGACTTCGTCGCCTTGACCAAAGCGCTCTACGATTTTCATCACGCCCTCCAAGGAGAAACCGTGGCTGGAAGCCCTTTAGAACAGCTGGTGGTTGAGAACTTCGATGAGGAGCAGATCTGGCAACAGCTGGAGCTCCAGAACCATGCCGTCCTGGGGTCCTTGAAGAAAGCAGTCGCGAGAAACGTGGAGGACGAGGGAAAGGGGCTGCTTTCCCTTCTCCCAGACATTGAGGAGGAGGAGGAAGATGAGGCAGGAGATGGTGAGGAGGACATGGATACGGAGGACCAAGCGGAGATGGAACCCAGCAGCAGTCACAGTGAAGAGGAAGAAGATCTTGAGCAGAAGAAAAGCAATTCGGAAGCCTCCAAAAATGGTCTTTTCAGCGACGAGGATTCTGAGCTGGACTTTGATATCGATAAGTTAGAGCAGCAAACCCAAAAGTCAAAGAACATTAGGAAAAAGACGGGGACAGACTCCCAGGTGGACGACAGATTTTTCAAACTCTCCGAGATGGAGGCTGCATTGGAGGCAGAGGAGAAAGAAGGAAACAAAGATAATGACAGCGATGGAATAGATTATTTCGAAGAGATTTTCTCTGAAGATGATGATGACGACGAGGAGGAGGAGTTTGGAGCAACGAAGAAGAAGGTAAGCGCTTGGGAGAAAATATTGTATTTTTATAAGGTAAATTTAGTCTGCTCTTAAAGATGATATTATTTTGAGACCCTTTGAGACAGGCAAAGAAAGACCTGGATTTCAAAACCATTCTCCAGATCAACTTAGAATAGCTGACTGGGGAATTGTGGAAATTGAAGTCCACAGATATTGTTGCAGACAGCATATTTATCAAATTTGTACAATTATTTTAAAGTTCTGCCTTGTTTACATGCATCCTTTGACAGAAAGGGGACTCTGAAAAATCCTACAGCAAAACTCTGCAGATATATCCCACATATTTTGAGAAGAACAGTTCTTTTAGTCATTCTCATTCCAGTGTGTTAAATATTCACTGTCCATCAACTTCTGTTTTCTTCTTCCTCAGGCAATTAAAAGTGCTCGCGATCTTAAATATAAAGATTACTTTGATCCTGTGGATGAGAGCTGCGATCCCCTGGATGAAAAGGAGGATGATCAAAATAACCAGAGTGGAGAAGGTGGAGAAGAAGAGGAGGAAGAGGAAGAAGGCAGTGCTGAGAACGCTCCCCAGTATGTGGCTGATCTTTAAAGGCACAGTTCTATTTTAATAAAGAGTTATGAAATCTTTAATACTGTACATATATAATGCAAACTTTGTAGATACTCCAATAACAAGTATATTCAGTAAGAGCCAATTGGTGTGGTGGTTCAGTTGCTGGCCTAGAAACCAGGAGACTGTGAGTTCTAGTCCCACCTTAGCCATGAAAGCCAGCTAGGTGACTTTGAGCCAATCACCAGAAATCTGTGAGTTCTAGTCCCGCCTTAGGCATGAGAGCCAGTTGTGTGACTGAGCCAATCGGCAGGGGACAGTGAGTTCTAGTCCCATCCCCTTAAGGCATGAAAGTCAATGGGTGACTTTGGGCCAATCACTCTATCTCACCCCAATGCACCTCGCAGGATTGTTGTGGAGAAAATAGGAGGAGGAAGGCGCATTAGGTATGTTCCCTGCCTTGAGTTACTAATAAAGTAGTAAAGCCAGGATAAAAATGCAATAAATAAAAATATATGCCTAATGATTTTTTTTTTTTAATCCTGTGGTTGAATAGGAGCGCTGAGGACGTGGGTGGAATGAGACAGACCGAACGTGGGAAAAGCAAAGACCCTTCGAAAAGAGTGACTTTCTCCTTGCCCTTCGACAGCGACGTTGAAGAGGAAACTGAGCCATTCCAGGAAAAATCTAACAAGCCTCCCGAAATGAAATCATCCTTCGAGAAAAGACAGGAAAAGGTGAACATGCTCCTCGGCACTAGGCCTAAATCCATTTGCGCTGTTATCTGAAATTATCTTTATAAATACGAAATCTTGAGGCCAGAAGGGAAAAAAAAAAAAGAAAGTGAGGAAGGAACAAGGAACGGATGCAAACATTTGTGTCTTGGGAATTAAAGTTTGCTCGTTTCCTCCTTAACAGATGAGTGAAAAAATAAAATCCCTCGAAGAGGAGCTGCTGAAGGAGAAGTCGTGGCAACTGAAGGGCGAAATTGTGGGGCAGAAGAGACCAGAGAACAGCCTCTTGGAGGAGATGCTGCTGTTTGACCACGCAGTCCGAATGGGTAACCCTTGAACTCAGCACAGAGACGCTTTCTCTGAAAAGCTCCGGGGAAGAAATGCTCCTTAGCGTTTACGTATTGGTTTATTTGATTTCTATCTCTCCTTTATTATTTATACAAATAACTCAACAGTGGTGAACATTTCCAACCCACCTTCCTCCTCTTATTTGCCTCTGTGAGGTGGATTGGGCTGAGAGAGAGTGATTGGCTCAAAGTCACCCAGTCGGCTTTCATAGCTAAGGCAGGACTAGAACTCACAATTTCCCTTCTTTCTAGGCCAGCACCTGAGCCAAACTGGCTCTTATAGCTAGGAAAGCCAGTTTGTACATGGCCAGGATGATTCCATCATCTGGTTATTCTCAGAAAGGATATTGTTAAATCTCACTGGAGTTTGTTTTGTGGGTTTGTGTGTTCTCAGCTCCTATGGTCACGGAAGAAACGACGCTTGAGCTGGAAGAGATTATCAAGAGAAGGATAAAAGACCAGGCGAGTAAAAATTGTTAATCTTTCTCTCATTTATGCTGCTTGAGAGAGGAATCTGTCCATTTGGCCACCATAGCTGCTCCGTGATTGATGCTGGTTTGCTGTTCTTTGTGTTGTCTGGATGGTGGGTATCCTTGCTTGAAGGCGGTAGAGAAGATGGTTTTTCTGTTTTATAAGAATCCTTAAGAGCAGTGTTTCTCAACCTTGGAAGCTACCAAGGTTGAGAAACACTGCTTAAGAGTCTGTTGCTGTGGAATTTTTCTAAGGAAGCAATTAGGTGCTCCAGGGTTAAAAGGTTGCTAAGTTTTCATTATTCTGGCGTGGCTTTTTTTTAAAAAAAAACTCTCTTTACATTGTACAGATTTGTGTTCTTAACTCCTGCAATTTTGTCCGCTAATTTTATGGCTTACTACAGAGAAAGAATTGCATCAAGGCGAAACTAACCCAAAATGAGATGCTCGTTGCTACCTGTGGCAAGCATTGCTATCTGGAGTTTCTTTTACAACACACAAACAAAAAAAAACCCTCCCAACGTATCATGTTAATATATTTTGTGTCCTAGGCTTGGGATGATGTTGTCCGTAAAGAAAAACCAAAAGACGATCCATTTGAGTATAAGAAGCGTTTGACTCTGGATCATGAGAAGAGCAAATTGAGTCTGGCTGAAATTTACGAGCAGGAATATTTGAAACTGAACCAGGTGTGTTTATTTATTATTTATTTATTAGTCCAATTTATATGCCGCCCTTCTCTGTAGACTCAGGGCAGCTTACAATGCATTATAGCAATAGCCTGCATCTTTTTTTGTATATACCTGCTTATTAGGGCTTTCGGCCCCCCCAAGCGGTGTTGTTCTATACAAAGTCGGCTTATTGTCCCCACAATCCGGGTCCTCAATTTACCTACCTCGAAAGGATGGAAGGCTGAGTCAACCTTGAGCCTGGTGAGATTCGAACTTGCACTAATTGCAGGCAGCTGGCAGCTAAGTGCTAGCACTTAACAGCACTTTAGTCCGCTGCACCACCGAGGCTCTTAGTGTCTATTACTGAAATTTAGGATGTGCCTCGGCCGAAGCGGTTTGGTTATTTCTACTTGAAGACCCAGGAGTTGGTGGTTGTGTGAATACCCTATAAGTTAAGACCCTATCTTATATTTTTTTGAACCCCAAAATAAGCGCTTGGCCTTATTATTTTGGGGCACGTGGAGCAAGATGGGGCTCCTCTTGCCGTCTTACCTGATTTCCAGCTCTGCGTTTGAATATTTTCGGGGGGAGGCTTATTTTAGCGCATGTGCTCAAAACCCCGATTGGGCTTATTATCAGGGGATGTCTTATTTTCGGGGAAACAGGGTAAGTGGGGAAAAAAAAGAATTGCAAGTCAATTACTAATTCTTAAGTGGATTTTACTGATTTGCTTTTGTTTTCTTATTCTGCTTGAATTATGTGTTAGGATTGGACAAGATGGTTAGAAATTAAGTTTGGGTTTTTAAGAAAGAAACAATGTGGAAATATTCTACGTTTTTGAGAAATACTTCAGCAGCGCTCAAGGGTAACCTGGGTAGATACGAATCAAAAAGTTTTTCAGACCCTGTTTTATACCCACATATTTAATTTCTTGCCATTCAGCAGTAAAATACTACAAATCATTTTTTAAAAGAAACCTTATATTTTATACGAGATTAAAATTAAGATACCTTATATCCTGCCATACTTTTTTAAAAAAATGGGAATTGCTCTCCTTAATCCCACGTTGTGTTAATGCAGAAAAAAACGGAAGAGGAAGAAAAACCCGAGCATATCGAAATACAGAAAATGATGGACTCTCTCTTCGTCAAACTGGATGCTCTGTCCAACTTCCACTTCATGCCGAAACCGGTAAGTACGGTGTCCCTGCAGACTTGGGGGAGCAAGTATTTTATGAACAAAAGCTGAAAGTTTTGAGTAGAAGGGTTGAGAATACTTAGTCTCCTTAGCAGACTTTTAAAGTCCATATCTGTGGTTCTCAACCTTGGTGACCTTAAGATGGGGGGACTCCAACTCCCAGAATTCCCCAGCCAGCATGGGAAAATTGAAGCCTCCCTATCTTAAAGTCGCCACAGTTGAGAAACGTAGTTCTCAATGTTTTTATGTCTCTGTAGGATGATAAGTAGAGACGAAATGCAGCTTTTAAGCATTTTACCCACCCAATTACACTTCGCTTATTTTTAGGACTGCAATGGTTGAATGATGTATATACATCATGCCTCTTTTTTGTTTTTTCTTGTAGCCTGTGCCGGAAGTTAAAATCGTCTCCAATCTCCCAGCGATCACCATGGAAGAGGTCGCTCCGGTGCATGTTAGTGATGCTGCCCTACTGGCACCTGAAGAAGTCAAGGTGTGGCATTGAGATTTCCTGCTCTCCATCACTAGTTGATCCCATCCTTGGGAATCTTGTTCCTTGCCAGGTTGGGGTGAAGTCAGAGGGAGCTCATGTAGTTGATATGACCCACGTACCCACCGCTGCTTTTCTTAACACCGGTGTCTGCCTTGTCTAAAGTAAAACGATGTCATTTCAGTGGGCTTTGAGGCCAGGGGGATAATTCCAGCAAACAGCTCCAAAGAGAAACATTTCTTGGGTTGTGGACATGTTAGTGGTGGGCCTGGGTTGGGTGTCAGGGAGATTTCCGAGTTCCCTGCTAAGATTTGTGGGATCGAAATTGGTTGGTTTGGGGTTGTTTTTGCCAAAATGCTTCACTCGCTTGGATTTTAGGAGAAGCACAAAGGGGGCGATGTGAAAACCGATGCCGAGAAGACCCCCACGGACAAGAAACGGGATCGTAGGAAGAAGAAGATGATGAAACGCCTGAAGCTGAAGGAGAAGGAGAGGAGGCAGAAACTCCTGGAGAGTAAATCGGAACCCAGCGCCAAGCTCAGCAAAAAAGCCTCGGAGGCCCAGCTGAAAAAGCTGACCAAGGAAAGGGGCACCTCCTTGCTTAAGGTACGGTTAAGAAAGTGGGGCCAAAGACCCCCAGATCCCCAAAGGCATTGTCTGTCCGATGCCTTCAGCACGAGAGCACCTTCCATTTTTATAACATTGGCTGGCCATGAGCTGGTAGGCTGTTTTCTACTGCTGGGGAAAAAATGGTCCAAAAATCCCAGATTTTCAGGGCTGTTCCAAATCACAGCAGAGGGAAGGGAGATCCAGATGTGGGGGTGGGGGAGGACTTCATCATTTCAGATCCTCTGAATGGTCTTGGATCAGATTCCCATCTATGCTCTTTCCAATCAAAAGACAGGCTTGGTTGGAAAGAGACAACCGTAATAGAGCCTGCCCCTTACAGTCGTATGCTGTGACAGTCGTAAAACAAGTTGGTCACGTAACCCACCTGATGTTAGGACCTTTTTTGTGACGGTTGTTAAACAAAACACCAAGGCTGTTGAGCAAACCCATTGTTCACTATGGTGCGGTTTTGCCCAAAAAATGGGAAGCAACATCTGGCATTTTGGCAAAATTGTCATAAAATGCCAGTCACGTGATCGCTGGTTTCAGCACCCAAAGTGCGGTCATATGACCGCCTGGGGGGAAAGCCACTGGGATCAGGTTGCAATTCCCGTTTTCCAAGAAGGTTGTAACTTCAGTCAGTCACTAAGTGATCAGTCGTACGTCAAGGACTACCTCTATGCAGCTTCTAACTGATTGAGCAGCGCCACAAATACAATTTTAAAAAGATAATGGTACAAAAAACAACAGTTACAAAGGAGCCGTTTCAAGAATCTTGAAGCATTTGAGTAGAACCGACTTTCTCCCTGCCCTCCGTTAGAAACACAAACACACAAACATACACACACCGCTTTCATCCTCCGTCCTCATTAGCATGTGCGAAGCACAAATGTGTAGATCTCGCCAAGCCCTTCTGAAGGAGGAGGAGGGGGGAACGTTGGGCTGCTGGGAAGATGGTGCTGCTTAACGCAAGAGCTGCCAATGCTCTTTCGTCACGGTCACCATACAAACGGGCTTTTTCTCCCGAAGGCTTTGTGTGGCTCGGCCTGCTACTTTCACATTTATTGAAAGGGTCCGTTTTATTTAAAGGATAAGTGTGTTTCCACTCGGCTCGTTTCAGTGACGTGCAATAAAACGCTTCTCCTTTGCAGGATGACGGCCGAGACAAAGCTTTGAAGTCCTCCAAGGCTTTCTTTTCTCAGCTGCAAGATCAAGTGAAAATGCAAATTAAGGAGGCGAAGAAAAGCCAGAAGAGACCAAAGAAGCGGGAACTTTCTGCCCAGAAGCTAAAGCTATGATAAATTATGCATGCCCTGCTTTGTATAAATTAAAATAAGGGTGGGATTTTTATTATTTTCTTAATTTAAAACTCTGCTTTGAATTAAACTCTGTTGATAGGCATACGCATATCCCCTTTTCTCTTGAAGTCACTGCTGTATGCAGGGTCTCCGTCCGGTACGGTCACATTTAAAACTGCCACATTGCCTTTCTTTGACTGCAGCCTGCGGTCACTTCTGACTACTTGTCATTCCAAGCATTTTGCAGTCAAAGGAACGAAGGAATTAGGGACGATGAGGTCCTGTTGATTCTCGGCAATAACATAGAAGTGATTCATTTTTATTTTTTATTTATTTCTCAGGCTTGCCTTTGATCTTCCTCCCCAGTCAGCCAACTGCAACCCTGCAAATTTTTCCAGCAGCATCCTAGTTCCTTTTTCCCTGCCTTCTGTTGTGAATCACTTGTAAAAATGCCAGTACTGACTGGAGACACACTTTGATGTGAATCTTCGAAGGGATTCGGGTGGTTTTTAAGCTTGGACAGAATTAATATTAAATCGGTGCATAAGTTCTATGTCAGTCCAGGGGTTTCAATAGAAGGCGTAATTTTTTTTTAAAAGTTTTTTATTAATAATTCAAATTTAAAAAACAATGGACATGGTTTGACATCTCTGGTTTCTAACATTTCCATCTAATTCAAATTAATAATATATTCCTTAATCTATACACAAGTTTACATATATCTTACTTCATTACATGTCAAGCATACTACATAATTCCTCCTAAACAACTATATCCATATCCAATAAACTTAAATCACACACACAAGTTCAGTATATATTGACATATATATTTCTAGACATTCACTACACCTTCTTTTTGGCATTCTTCCTCTTGTCTAACCATTCATAAAATTTAGTCCAGGTTTCATAATATGTTGATTCACTTTTATTTTTGAGTTCCAAAGTGAGCCTCTCCATTTCTGCACAATTGAAGATTTTACATAACAGCTCTTCTTCTGAAGGTGGAAGGCTTAATAAGATCTTCATCTATCCTCCGTTCCACACTTCTGATTGCATTTGTTTGGAATCTGTAAAATACCTTCTGGGATTTGATATATTTGTTCCTTGGCCAGGAGGAATGATAAGAAAATGGTAGAGGGTTTCCTGCTTGGGCAGGTGGGTTGGACTAGAAGACCTCCAAGGTTCCTTCCAACTCTCTAGAGGTAGGTCAAAGGTCACGGTGCCAAGCTTCGAGCAGCGCACTGCCTTAGCTCCTGCGCTGTGGTCTTTCCTGCTTCTATGATCTAATTCTTGGCTTTTACCTGCATTATCTCACCTAGAGAGGATGGCATCTTGAGAGGGGGGTGAATAATTTCTATCCAATTAGAATACTGTTACTGTCCAGGCTTTTATCTGCTTGTGTAAAACTGTATAAAAATAAAGCTCTCTACGAAGGCGGGAGAGACATCTTGGAACAGAGCAAAAGCCTGGACCTCTGATTTACAACACAACTCTTGTTACCTGTTACCTATAACTCCGTTATTCTGTACTCTGTAAAAGGTTTATTGTATTTTCATGAGCTTGAATTCCTCCTAATGCCCCTAGGACGATGGGTGGCTACTATATTTCAAATCGTAGCCTGGTGTATATTAAAAACAATTCTTTTGTAGAAATTTAAATTTAAGAAGAGACCTTTCATACTTGTCTGGTTAAAGCAGCTCTGTTTTCTCATCTTAACAGCACTAAAAGCAAGCAAGATAGCTCAGGAATCTTGATCACTATTCAAAATGCTTATTCAGTTTGGAAAATTACCTTTCAGGCTTATCGTTTGCTACAATTATCCCTTTTAAGATGAAAAGAAGTTGTACGCCCTTAATGCCTTCTAGCAGAGTGGGGGAAGACAGTCTATCAAAAGATGCCATTTAGCACCTGAAATGAACAGTATTGGTTTAGTAAGGCATTAAATACTCTTTTTTTTCTTTCTCTGGCTGCATAATTCTATCTTTTTGCATTTTGGGGGGGAGGGAATCTGTCAAAGGCAATTAAAGTCAGGCCGAATTTGGATTTGAATTGCTTTCCAATTTTGGGCTAAAAGCAGGCAGCAGCATTTACAGCGTAATGGGGAGGAAAGGAAACGTACCACTGCCGTCTTTAAAAATGGAAAAGCTGGTCTAATTGACGGAGTGTAAGATTGTGTCAGCTAATGGAAGAAAAGCAGGGGGGAAAAGTCAGGGAAGTGGTGGGATTTTCTTGCACAGAAAAAGTTTCTGTGCTGCCAGCGGAGCCATCAAATGCTCTCCAAAGGGCTGTGTAGCAACATCTGCATTTGTTCCAAAATCTTGCTTACAGACCTGGCAGGTAGATGCTTCTGGGGTATTCAGCAAAGAGTTTGAAGTCAAAATTGCCTTCAGATTCTGTCCTAAATACAAAAGGTGAATCTACCCTTCCTGGGAATTGTAGGGAAGGATGGTACTGGGCAAAGCGGAGAGATGAAGGAGGTGGTTGAGGGGGGGTGTCCTTAAAGGAGGAGTGGGGAGGAGAGGGCAAGGGGGCAAGGCTTTGACTGCCAGTCATCAGGAGTTAAGCCTCACTTGGGGGAATTGTTTCCTTTTCAAAGATACGAGAGTTCGAAAGGCTTCTTCAGGTAATTAACCTGTGGAACTTATTGCCACAGGATATGGTAACAATCTGCTTTTTTGGAACTACAGCAACTTGGCCACTTTTAAGATGAGTGGACTTCAACTCCCATCATTTCGCAATCATTATGCACGTTGTTCATCTATCTAAAAGCATGCTGGCTAGGGGATGCTAGGAGTTGAAGCCCACCTAAAGTTCCCAATTCGAAAAACACTGAACTGGAGTACTTTGCAGGTAGAGATTGCAAAATAAGCATGCAAGGATTGAGTAATTTATGCACCCAGGGGAAAAACTAGATGCATTTCAGGCCTGGAAGGGAAAAAAAAAAAGCTACTTTTACTGAAATTGGAAGGGTTGGACTCTATACATATGACGAAAACAAGGCTCAACAAAATTTGCAACTGTAATTTCTGGCTACCGATCGACCGCTCCAGCATCGATCTTGCATGCCTGGATCTGGGATGGATTGCAACGGCCTGGCGGCGAGATGGAACGTTGTGCAGGCAAAGAAGCTTCCCCGGCACGCGGGAACTTATAGCACCGCGCATGCGCAGCCCGTGAGCCATTGCAATTTTATTTTTGAATGAATTTATCGCTCAGCCGAGCCGAGCCGAGCCCGGGTCTCGTTTTAATTGCATTCCTCTGTCCTCCCCTCCCTGCATTGCTACCTCGCGCTGCTTTTTCACCCGGGACGCCTTTTTCCACCAACACCATTTTTATTATTATTTTTGCAAAATGCAATAGGGATCCCAGGCTGGAGCAGCAGGTACTGCGGACTAGATGCATGGGAAGGAGGAAGTGTTTAAACTGCTCATTCTGAAAACTGGCACCGCTGTCTCTGCGGCTTATGGTCTCGCTTCGCTTCGCCTTTGCCTCTCTGGTGGGCTTTGGGGTCCAAGTAATGGACAATCCCATTTTCAATATTTAGTGTAAAATGAGAGCTTGGGAAATGCCAGCCGCTGCTGAGATCTGAGCGGTGCAAGCTGAGATGGCAGCAGCCCTTCAACTGCGGAGAGCATCGCTCCGCGGCATTTTGTGCCCGCGCAGAATTGTCACTCTCAGTTGCAGAGTTTTAATGCGGTTGGAAAACTTTTCTGCTAGTGTTAGCATCTTATATTGGGCGCTAGGGAAGACAGAGCATAAAGGTATTGCTTTTAGAAGTGGCTGTCGTGTAAAGAAAAGGGGAAAGACAAATATATGAATATAAATGAATAAAAGAATACATACAGGTATAAATATGGGAGATAAAGGAAAAGATAGAGACAAATAGGTAAAGCTAGCTAGATGATAAAGGATAGTAAGATATAGATTATAGATAGATGATAGAAGGTAGATGAAAGATAGAGATAGATAGAATAGATGCTAGATAGATTAGATAGATAAATAGATTAGATAGATAGATGATAGATACAGATGATTAAAAAATGTGTAGGAATGGAATATATCTAAACTCTGTCCAGAGTCTTTGAGAGTTGGGAGGCTTATAATGGTTGTCAGTATACGCATAATCTACAATTAGATTCACAAAGAAGAGTGAAATAATTATTTGTGATACCTGCAGGGACTACCAAGCCCTTGAATGCAGTGCTGTCACTCTTAATTATACAGGGTGCTGAAGTCTTTTCTTGTTAAATCAACAAACCTGGACAAGTTAAAGTTCTCCATGAAATTGAACTTGAAAGCAGATCTAGAAGAAATCGAGTTTTAACGCATCACCTATCTACTAAAAAAAATTATCCGGATCCTTATCATCGCATAAGTGACACATGAAGGATCCTACGAAGGTTAATGCATGAAATTCTTTGGCCCTTTTTGAAATGCTAGCTCTCTGCTTTTCACAAAGGGGAAATACAGACATTATTCTTGGTTATTTCTTTCTGCAAAACGTTAACGTGGCTTCTCCTCTTTTTTCCCCTCTTCAGACAAGAGAGAAGAGAATGTACAGCAAGTGGGATCGGAGGGAATTTTGTCGTGAAACAAGGCTGTGAAAAGGCAGCCCTTCTGTTTTCACCATGCTTTAGGGCCCTGCAATGGCAGAAGAGGGGCCTCCGGATAAGAAAAGACCCAGAAGAAAGTTGTCCCTCTGTAAGAGCGATAAAAAAACTGCAGGAAAAAATGGCAAAGAGGGGCTGTCTTCCATCCCAAGCTCCTCTTCCATTATTTCCCTTTTTAACAATGCTCCTCCCGCCAGAATTGCCTGCCCCTTGTGTGGCCAGACGATACCAAGGTACAGAATCAACCAGCATATGGACGAAGAATGCAAAAATAATCAGAGCGAGGACAACGTGAATGTGATTGGCTTCGCGTCGGCTGTCACCCCTGGGCCGTCAGCTGAAACTGGGCCTGTGGGTTCGAGTCCGTATTTTGCAGCTAAACTCTCAACTCCAGAGAAGAATTCCGGAGGAGACAATCTGGAAACAAAAAGAGGGTCTGGAGGACAGACGAGTCCATATTTCAAGAAAGTTGGAAAACTAGCTCTGCTTGATGATCAACCTAGAGTTGGTGCCATTAAAAATATTTCCCTGGGAAGCTTGTCGACCAGATTGTCCAGGAGGTGGCGTGGTCGCAGCAGGGATGGGTTGATTCAAGATGGCCAACCTTCTCCAACTCAAGTTGGCATCACAGAGCAGAAGCTCAACCAAAAACCTTGGAGTGAAGATTCCCTGAAAGAGAACCAGTTGTCCCTGTCAAGATTCGGATGGACAACTGGAGCTCTAAATAAGGAGTGTGATATCTCAGGTTTGGGACAAGAAGATGACTCAAGATCTCTCTCTGATGGCCTGAATGATTCTGCTCTGGTATCACTCAGTTGCAGAGAACTTGGGCTGTCAAGAAAAGGTCATCAGCAAGTAAGTCACCCCCAGAAGAATCAAGATGTTCGCCAATTGGGAATACCTTCAGTAGTTGAGGAGGAAGGGTTGACAGCAACTTATCCTAGAGAAGAGCCATCTAAGCTGGAATCCCAGAGTTTCTCCTCTAACAAGCCAGATCCAACACTAGAAGAAGACTATCACCATGAGATGCAAAAGTTCTCCAGTTCCACAGGAGATGCAACGGAACGGCTTTCTATAGAAGATGAGGCAGGGGCCAGAACTGAAGTCGAGGATGAAGTATGTTTGGCAACTTTAGAAAAAGCCGGTTTTCCACAATCAAGTGGGAACGTTGGGCCTGGCCTGGATTCAGCCGGGCATCCCTATTACCTTCGAAATTTTCTCATGGTCCTGGAGGCCGTGCTGGAGAACGAAGATGATCGGAGACTGTTCAGTGAGGAAGATTCGGAGGTCATTGCTCGGTTCTACAAGCTTTCAGGTAGCTTTAATTTGTAACTGGCTTAATGACCAGAGGATTCGCTTAATGACTGCGGTTACAGGCTTCACAAACATAGTAAAAACGGATGTAAAATCAAATTGGGTCATGTGGTGACTTTTATGAGCAGAATTATTTATGACGAAAGTTCTAGATTCAATTGCAGTCATAAATCAAGGATTATCTATAGGTGTATTTAAGATTCTGCGTTTAGCTGATAAGCCATTGTGTTTGTCCAGAAAGTCTCACTTCTTATCATTAAATTGCTTGACACATCGGAAACGTTGGCTCAGCCGAACTTCCCGAGCGAGATTCTCTGGCAAAAGGTCCAGAATTTCCACGCAATGCCACTTTTTCAAACATCTTTGTAGAAAATGTTTTCTTCTCTCTCATGTTACAATTCCATTGCAGCTAGCGGACAGAAACTCTACGTTCGGCTTTTCCAGCGTAAATTGGCCTGGATAAAGACGAATAAAATAGAATACGCAGAGATCAGCTCGGATCTTTCACCGGTCATCCAAGAGCTTGTTGAAGCAGGATTCCTGCAGTCTGGTAGGTCCAGTGATCAGATGGGTGCAGAGCCATTTGGGTCCTCTAATTCAGAGACTTCCCTGTTGGCCCGAGCGAGCTCGAGGCTTCTAAATCAGTGACCCAGAGTTCTTTCGGGGAGGGCTGAGAACTGCATTTGATAAGAATGGAATGGAATGGAATAGAGCTGGAAAGGACCTTGAGTTCT